CCATTTTAAAGTGAACAGATATAAACTTGCGTTGACTAATCGTCGATGGATGTGTAAAAAAGGCAAAAGACTGACGATTACCGCTAACTTTTAGGAACGAAATTTAGGCAGTGGGGAAAAAACCCGGCCCGTGGGCCGTATCGTAAAAAGCTGGACCGGTCACGTGCGTATGATTAACCAATCAAATTCGAGGATTTAGGATTCCAGCCCGCTCAGATGCTTGAGAAAAAAATAATAAAACTTATTTCAAGAGGTGCGCAGAGTGATCAGTTGAAGCCGACACTGGCAGCCGTTCAAACCGCTACCTGGGAAAATCTGTAAGTGTCATTAATCCCCGTGTTTGGCGTCAAAGTCTGAAATTCAAAATAAATCGTTTTCAAAAGTTATGGTGACCTAATTAAGTTAGTTAATTTAAATGCAGTGCTCACCTTTTACAGTTACTGTAACTGATAACTGAACTCTGCCCAGCAGATTCTCCGCTGTGCAAGTGTAGATGCCGTGATCTTCATACAATATGTTCGTTATTTCCAAATGTCTTTTCTGAAAGTCTGTTCTTTCTTCCTCTATCACGTGACCATCTTTATACCACGTGATTACCGGCGGTGGGAACCCAGTTGCTTTGCAGGGTAATGTCACGTTTTGCTGTTCTCTCACCGTCATGGAAGGAGAATGCCTTGTAACAAAGAGTGGTGATTCTGTAAACATGGTAAGGCAGATGGTTCATATTATGACTGTATCATCTTTGAGGTGCGAGTTTGCTTGTACGTCAACGGGCTAAGCCCTGTATTCAAACACCATCGTAATTTGCGAATAATTAACCAAAACTGATGATTCACGTTTGCCCGTGCATCATCGAGTTATTATGCACCTGGAACGTTATCACTGAAGAACCGTGAGAATTGCTCTAGGTACAGCCCAGGTCAAATTTAGCTTTTATATTAACTTGAACTTTTCCAATTGAGACAAAGCCCCAGAACAGTTTTCCTTAGGGCTCAATCAGTTCCAGTGTAGACATAATTGTAAGATAGATAGATAGATAGATA